CTTGAGAGGGTGCAACCGATACCTACAGCCCAACAAGCTGTACTGCATGTGGGTGGCAGGGCTGGCGGCCCCCCATCCCGGCAGTGCCCGGGGCTGGCCTCCTGGCCTCCAGAGCACACCATGAAAGGCAGATCTGCTCTACAAAGCTCCCACAGAGATCTGCAGATGAAAAAGAGAGAACGGTGCAGCTGAAAAAATAGATTTCTAATTGCTCTGCGGCTGTATGAGCATTACTTGTGCATACGTTTGCAGTTGTACACAGCTCTATGTGGACATTTACTAAACCAGATGAACTGATAAGATGATAAAATAAATACAATATTGTCCAGCTTCTTTTTTAACAGCTGCCAAAAAGACACCCCCCAGAAATGCTCCAAACTCGGCGTTCTGTTGAAAAGCATCATTTTCCATTATGTTTGGGTCTATTCTGTTTCCCCTTCAATTTGCAACATTGTGCTGGAAACAGTGATGAAGAACATATGTCTGCAGTAAATTACACCCAGGAGAAATCTTGGAACTGTTACATTCTGTTTTATTACCCAAGGCATTAAGGTAATCTACCACAACACGTATTATTGAACAGTTCCATCAAACACAACACCACTAATAGAGTTCCATATTATTATGCATGCAAAAAGAATTTATCATATTTCTTGAACCTCATTAGGTGACTTACATGTTGCATTTTCATTTTAATTAACAGTTCCACAATATTTTCAGTGCTACAACAAAACCAGGTGCTACGTAAATGCAGAATGTTATTGTACAAGTGTTTCGGAAAACATGTTCAGGCAACAATAAGGTTGAAAAGCCTAACACTCAACAGTCAGGAAACTGTGAGTGTTTACACTTCTTTCACAATATAAGCTTACACAAGTGCTGCATCTTAACGTATTCTGCAGGGGTCTGTAATCATCTAGGCTGCATGAGGGAAACCTAGTGTAGCCAACTGGATGGGTAGACTAACATCCCTGAGAATCGCTTTCCTTTCACTACTGCAAATACTAATCCAGTTTCACTAAGTTACATCAAAACTCAAACACAGCATAAATACTCCCTGTGTACTGGTGAGCTGCATCTTTTGGGGGAGGTTTGCAGTAGTTCTGTGAGGTATCACTGGAGATCTCCTATAGGCTTAAACTCTGGCAAACATTATGAAGTTTACATTTAACAAGTATAATAGGTATAAAAGATACCTTCTGTAGACACGGCTGTTACTTTGGCTGATAACTTGACCTCAAAGGTCAAGTTTTCTAAAGTTTTACAAGGCTTTTGCATTTTATTTCCCAAGTGACTCCATGGGAAAAACAAATAAAACAACAAAAAAATGCATGTCTGTCAAGACTACGCACCTTCCATGTTTTGCAGAGAAGAGGAAAGCAAAAGGCTAAGGCAGCAGTTCAGAGCCACAACTCAGGTATGGCTTTTGATTTCAATTTAAATAAACCAAATAGCCTTAGTAAAGTGTTAGGTCCAAACTAAAATGAAAACATCAGGCACCAGGTGTATTGGGAAGCAGAGCACAAAGTCCTCTCTGTTCAAAGAAAAGTAATCACTAATACCTGAACATGTAATTTAATGCCTTGCTTCTTCAAGTTCCAAAATGAGTCACACAAAGCTGAAAGCACCAGTCTACTTAATGAACTGCAAACTGAGAACCAGGTAAAGTTACTTGCTGAGTATCATATAGAAGGTCTCACTTACTTTATTAGCTTATTCGTCATGTGTAAGAGTAACTGAAGCTATATTGTTCTAGGTCTCTGTGGTGTTCAGTCCATACACAGCAGCCATGGCTCACAGAAATACACTATATGATTATGAAATTGAAGACTGTGCTACAATGCACACAGGAGTCAAATGATGGTTGCATGGGAAACAGAGTTACTGGCATTTCTCAACTTTAAAATTCTTGGCTTTGCAGTCTACATATTATTACTTCTATTATTACATCTTACGATGCCTTTTTAAAGGCATCAGTGAATTTTGCTATCTGTTGCTATAACCAAAGCTGCCCAGCCATGCATCGCCAGTGGGGTTTGAAACTTCACTCTGCAGCTCTGCAGGTTAAGCTGCTTAGTAAAACCAGATGTACTGCAGAATGGATATTGAAAATACAGGAACTCGGGTCCCACGTGGCAACCTGGAGGTGAGGAGTGAGACAGCAGGCAGCGTTGTGAACCCACCCAGTAACTGGCATAGTTTTCTACATCCAATTTTACATTCTTCCTATCACTCACCTTGATGGAAAGTTGAAAATAACAGTGCGAACATTTTGCTTTGTTCTCTCATGGATGAGAGTCCAAGAATTACTGAAATTTATTTTAGTCTAATTAACTTCCGTGGCAATTTGAGAGCAAAAAAGATTTTCTCTTGTTTCTGACTTTCAGCAAGTAAAATGAGGGCAGAACATTGCAGGTCTATACCATGATCTGTGCAGACCCATGGCTGTTGCTAACTAGCAAGGCTGGGCTGACCATGTGGAACCAGGCCAACCTGTATCTGCTGAAAGGAACAGGTGGTCTGCAGTTCTGACAGCAGCAGATGTCTCAGCATTATACCTGCTGTTGTACAAAAGGGGAAACCAGTGCAGCCATCCATTCCCTTGACTTTCAGCCCTACTACAAAGGAAGTCCTCCTGCTGTGCCTTTGGAAAAAAAGTGCAGTTTCTCCTACAGTTCTGACATACTTTGCCTCTCATGCACCAAGCAAGGAACCCAAGGTTCAGAGGGAAGGAGGATGCAAAACACAGGCCTGGCAAAATACAAGTCAAGGAAGAGAATGTCTAAGGCTGCTTATGTTTTCTGTCTTCCCAATTCGATGCACTGCAAATACAGCAAATTACAAATTCAGTGAATTCCACCAATGCTGATAAAGCAGTCTGTGGGATGAATAAAGGCTTGAAAGCTACCTAAGAGTCATTCCTAGAAATTCCACTTTATACTTTCCTCCCCAAGACAATCCTTATTTTTGGTCATGACAATAAGTCTTTGGGATTTTTTTTCCTCTTTTATGAATAAAAGAACTGTCATTCTAAATAAGATGTAAAAATAAAGAATGCTGATAAACTGAAAAAGTATGCAAGCGAGGGGAAATACTATGATGTACTTGTGCTAAACACGCCGATACACCAATAAAAGGATCCAATGACTCTGGCTTTGTGCTATGCAATTCACTTCATCGGGTAATAATGTGTTTGGTCTAAAACTATATGGACTGCATGTACTGGGTCTGGCTGAGATGGAGTTAAGTTTCTTCGCAGCAGCTTGCATGGTGCCATATTTTGGATTTGTGGCTAAACCTGTGCTGATAACACATGAATGCTTTGGCTATTGCTGAACACTGCTTGTACAGTGGCGAGGCTTTCTCTTTTCCACAGTCAGACATCCCACATAATAGAGTGAGTACATATGCCTAGGGAGATGAAGTACTTCAGGCACCCACCATGTTTCTAATAGTCTGCCCACTATGTAGAAAGACAGAAGTAATTTTATTTCATAAACTAAAGAATCTTTGTATGGAAATACCCATCCAGCTGCTCATCTGCCAAGAAGTTGAAAACAAACACCCAGATACTTGCTTTTACTCAGGAAACATGCACACTGGAAATCAAGCATACAAGTATTTTATAAAAACTATAGAATTACTGACAGGTTATGGAACATAAGAGAAGCACAATGTCTATTTTTGTCTCCATCTGTGATTACAACTACATAACCTCGGAGCATAAAGAGCAACAAGGGAAGCATCTGTGTACACAGGGATGAAGCTTCTTTTTGGTATTTGACTGAAGTTTTAGAAACTCCAAGTCTTCGTATAGTTACACTAGGCACAATGAAGAAACAGTGATAAAACTGATTCTAAACACTGTCAGGAGAAAAGGCAAAATATAAAAATGGAGGTTTAGAAATGACTGTGCAGCATCCAGTAGAAAACATCACTGAAGCTGCGAGGGAAGCATCACAGAGTGGACCAGATGTGCAGCACGTATCAAAAAACAGGAGAGCAAAAGTCTACAAGAAGACTGGAACACTGTGGGCACCGTGGCCAGAAGTATTAAAATAACAGCACAGTGCAAATACGACTGAACATGTCCATTCCTACGTTAAGAGTCTCTTAACCATCAAGTATTTTACACTCAGCCACAGCGGAGCGGCCAGACCACACCTGTATTTTAAAGCAGAAGCATCCACAGGGACCACCAGCGGCATTATTCCACTTCCCTTGAGACTCCTCACTAGGGCCCATTCTTGGCATAGGCTTTGGAAGGTAAGCTCCTCACAGCAACTTGACGTATGTCCATATGTTCCCTACCTCAAAGAAGACCTGATCAATGACCTGCTCACTACTGGTAAATACTGAGAGAACTGACAGCATGAAGCAAGATCCCTTCTGCCATTCAGATACGTCACCCTTGAGCCATAGTTTATTCATTTGAACCAATACTTTTAAGAGTTATCTTTTTCTAAAATGTGACACCAGCAGCAAGAGGTTAGGGCTTTCCTACTCTGTGAGTGCTCATCTGAAAAAAGGCTTAGCATGCTATTTTTAAAGACTAATGCTCATGTTGTTTCAGCAAAAACTCGATGTTGGTTTTAGACACATTTCGTCTTTTATGCCAGACAGGCCAGCTCCTCATATTCACAAAGTCACTGTGGTTCACTGAACATGTTTCCAGAATTAATTTTGACATCCCAGGGTTAACTTTACACTGATCAATGAAAGAAACTGTGGAAAAGATTACCTTATGAAAACATGCAAACTTAGCCAACCTTTAACAAAAAGAACAACTTGTAGAGCTTTCATCAGACTCAGCACTCTTCAAGGACAGCCTGTCAGCATTTGGCATATATGAACATAGGAGATGGAACAAATCTACAGGAAATCCTTGTGCTTACTCATGTACCCTCAGCACCACAGATGAGTCAAGCCGCTTTTATGAGTTTCTCCCAGTTCCCGCATTCCCAGCCATCCAATTCCTCACCACACAAGCAGAATCTTACCTGTTATTTTCTGCAACAAAGGAGACAGCTCTGGCTCATCACAGATGGCCTTGACTAGGGCCGTCTTCACCTCCTCTTCAGCTGCATCCAACTCTTTTCCGCTTTTGACTTCTCCAACCACAGAATACATGTATACAAGCAAGACAAGGAAGTCCTCGCAGGTATAATCATCTTTTGTCCTCTCATTGTAAGGCTTGATCATGGGCAATAACTGGTTCAAAACACTGGCCATTTCTGACTCGCCAATAGTCTGAAAAACAGAAGGAAGATTGTGTCAGACTGCTCCTGTATTGCTTATCAGTTCACATCAGACACACTCCTGCCTGCATCCGCAAGTTATTATTTCTCATGAGAGCAGTGCTTGTTTAATGAAACATCATTCAATATTTGCATTCTCCTTTGTCAGCACATGGTCATGTAACTTAATTGCTGCTCAAGCAGTGAATCTGTTAGTTTCCTACAAGTTTTTTTTTTCTAGAGACTCATGATAGCAGCACCTTAGCACTTGAAAAGCCTGATGATTAGATCTTGTGCCAGTACGATGAGAGGATGGGAGCATCAGTCTCTGCAGTACGGGTAGAAAAGGTACAAAGCACAAGGTCAAATGCTTCCTCTAAGTCTCGGGCCTCCTCCTTGAGCCTGATTTTGTACTTGAGCAATGAGTTCAAAGCCCAGCTCCCTCTGACTTCAGTTGCTATTGTAAGCTCTCAGCACATCTGCAAACCTGACCCTACGCTTTCAGGTCAGAAACCCAGAAAATTAGAAACAGAACCACCTGTGAAGCACGTGGTTTAAGAGAGCAGCATGTTTCCTAGAGGAGCGCTGGGACAGGGAAGCAATCACAGACATGGCATACGCCCTGACTCTCTTCTTTCTCTGCCTCCTTCATAGCACACTCACCAGCTTCTTAACAGGCCACGTAACACAGGTCTTCCACACCAAAAAAGCCTTCTTTGGCTCATTTCCACAGCACATATGTGCTGCTAGGTGACTAAGGCAAAGGCTGCGTGGAAGGGCGGAGAAGTGACCCTGAGGCTGAAAGATGATCATAAAGTGTATACAAAGAGAGGAAGGCTGGCAGACAAAAGGAGGGGGAAACTGAGAATATACTAGGATGTCCTAGGTCCTCAGGAGTTGAAATCTCATCTTTGTGGGAGAAGTGTCTGTACAGCTTTACTGTGGTTGTAAATAGGAGACTTTAAACATGAATCCCCTGAAGTGCCACACTGACACCCGCATCACGTAACACCAGGGCTGAGGTTTTCATTCACCCTGCAGGTCTCTGACACTCAGGACAGCAGAGTGCCTAATCATAGTGGTTTTGGTTGTTCTTTGTTGTTTTAGTTGTTCTTTGACAATCTCAGAAACCAACACTTTTATACCAACACTGAGCTACTACAGATCTCAATCATAAAGAAAGCACGAGTTACTCAACCTCACAAGAAACATTTTTCCACCCTGTGCTATACGAAACAACATTTCTGCAGACTTTGGGCCCCACTCTGCTCCTGCCATGCAAGTTTTGCGACGGACCCATCTTTCAGGGGAGTTGAATGTGGTCATGTTATGTTCTATGTGAATACATACCTTGGAGAAGAATTTGCTAACTACCCACATGCAAAACCTAACAGTATGTGCAACTGTGGACTTGGAAGCAGTAAATTACAAATCTACAGTGGTCACAAGCATATGGGAGTCAAAAAGGAACATTTAGAAATTTGGGAGGGGTGAGCACCCTACGTGTACTTGGGCAGGGGACATTATATCACATGTACAACAATCCCAGGCACTGCTCTGCCTGGACAGCAAATCTATGGTGTCTGGCACTGGTCTGGCATATGCTGGCAGCTGAGCCATCCTCAAGAAAAGGCTGTTGGTTTCCAAATTTTAACTCAGCCCTGCCTCAGTTCAGTATCACCTGCTTGCTTCCTGAAAAGTGACACAAACAAACTCTCATCTGTACATCAGGACAAGAAATATCAAACCATGGAAAAGGACAAAACTTCAAGGAATTCACAGGTATGCAGCTACTGGAAAGAAGCCACCCACAACGAACAAAAGCCTGATCAGTCCTAAAAACCTAAGAGCTGAACATTAACCTGTATGTGGAATTATTCTTGAATAGATGACAAATCTATAGTAGACTGAGTTCTAATGAGAGGCAAGCCCTATGCCACATATTACTGATCATTTACCATTGACTGGCACACCATCCACTCCCCCCTCTCCTCCCAACACACAAATTCTCTACTTCACCCCATCTTTAAATACCTCATGGCATGTTCTGCAGCACCAAAGATGAGTTCTTGAAAAACTCTATTTGGCATGCACACATTATACATATGCATGGAGCACTGAGGATTCACAAGGACGTTTAAAACAGTAGGGTCAACTGCCTTGCTTGAGCTCCTGAAAGTCCACGTGTACAGCATCTCTGGCAAACTTTCAAACATACATGATAAAGAAAAAAAACTGGGTTTAAACTTTCAGGATGATTTACTGTAGAGCAGGTTAAACTCAACAACTTACAGTAACAATTGCCACCTCTTATCTTCAAAGGAAAAATGAAAGACCGAAAAAAATTAAAGAGCTATAATAAACCGTTGACTGCAGAATGCACATAGGGTCTTTCTGGGGTATGAACTTCTCTGGAATGTTTTTCCCTTATCTCTTGGGAAATGGCACTACAGAGGACTTCAAATGGAACTGCCAAGTTTCAGAGGCTGTTTTGTCCAAACAGGCCAATTGGACTGGAACTTGCATGAAAAAAAACGGGACTTGCAGCCTCACTGCAGAGCACAGCTCCATAGGGAGCTGGGAAATTTGCCTCAAACAAAATCCACTGGCACACTGTCATTATCTGGCCACCTCCGATGATTTAGGGGCTCCCTGCACTGTATAACAATCAATCAATTACCCTGATTGAACAAACCTAAAACACAAGTTTTAAAAATGTAACTACCCATGACCCAAATTTCCTGCTGGCTGTGTTGGCCTCAGGTTAGCCCCATTTGTCTATCATCAAGGGAGCCAATAAAAATAATACAAACAGGTCAATTCTGAGCTTTTCAAAGGCTGTATGAAAACATTAATGCTGCTTAATGCAGAGCCAGCTAAGGCCCAAGCACTAACAACTTCTGCTTGCTCGCATTGTTTGGACATTTTAATGTCCAAACAATATATTCAAACAATATATGTCCATATATCCTTCAGAACCCAGGGAGAGTTTGTGATAGATTTTTGTTGTTTTCCATCTCTTTCCTCCACCCTCCTTAGTTATTTATTTTTAAAACTTAAGCTGTGTAATAATTTACTGTCCCTGAGGGTAAGTGAACTGACATCAGTTTGCTGAGTTTTGCAAAAGGCCCAGGTTTTGGCAGATGGGAGGACAGTGAAGAAAGCACAAAAATCATTTTTGCAGTTTTTAAACACTGAAAATGATATTGTGCTTCAGAAGTGGCATTTAAAGTATGATTCAAAGGATCTACAGGAATTAAGAGGAAGTGTAATAAACCCAAGGAAAAATGTTTTGCATTTCTCCAAGAAGCATTATTTTCAGTATTAAATAAACCTGTAAGAATCTAAAGCTGTAAGTATCATTAGATGTCTTTTGTACAAGAAAGAATACAGTGTACTGGGGAGGAAGAGAAGAAGAGGGTCAGAGTTTACTTGAATTAACACGTGTCCCTGACAAAACTGAGACGAGAACTGAGCGCTCTAATCCCTGTGCTTCCAACCCACTGTCCTCAACACATCATTTAAAATATTAAAGCAAAAATTAACTTCAAGCACGCAGAATTTATTTTCTTTTAAAATCAAGGAGGAAGGAGGAGATAAATCTTTGGAGACTACTTCACTATGTAAATATTCTAGTGGCTTTCCGCCTAGGAAGCAAAACATGCTTAAATCCTTCAGAGGTCACATGAGTTAACAGAACTTTTTGGAATGGGAACACACAACTTTACAACAGTGAGAAATTTTACTGGGGAAAACAAAACTAAAAAAACACCACCAAAACCCAGCTGCAGGTAAAACCAGCAAAAGGGTCAGTGGAAATTCACAAGCCCTTGGGCTACACAATGCTGCACATGCACATTGCACATGCACAATGTATACGCACAATGATTTAGTTGTTTAATAGAAGTTTAATTGATAGCTTAGGTGGGAAAAGAGGGCTCGTAAGTTGTGTAATAAGCAGCTTTCCAATGCTGCTCTTTTTCATTTGTCCTGTTTTACCTGGGTTTGACATCTTGTGTTTCATGATTTTTCCAGGCAGCCTATTAGTGTCACTACTAGCCAGACAAAAGCAGAATACTGTAGCTGCTAAAAATGACAATGGCACCAAAGGAGTATCTCATGGGTAGGCAAAACCCACTCAGATCCTTTGACAGCAACAGATCTCTGCAGCAGTAGTCATCTTAGCAAAAATGCAAGGTGCTGCCAAGTTAAAGGAGGAATCTTAGCTGCCTGCAGTGCTCAGCTGCCCATAAATCAAACACTGCAGTTCTGTTACACGCTATTTTACACTGTCTGGCCATCTGAGATTTGGGGTTGATTGCATGCAATTTCCATATGGGTGAGAAGATGTCTGTACTCCTTACTCTCAGCAGAACAATCATTTCATGTATTTAGTTTTTATTATGTGTCTTACGGGTGACTAGTGATTTTACACAATAGATCAGTAAGTATGATCTTACCATGTAAATTATGTTTTTCCATGTGAAGCTCTATAAATCATTCTAATTATTGACTTGGGAAGGTTTTGATAAAAATGTACTTTCTCTTCTCTTTACATATCTGTTGGGTATGATTGAAGAATAATCGACCCAAAACATAACACAAAACCTGAATGTCTTTGAAGTACTACACCCTTGCCATTATGAAACCCCTCAATTTGTCAGTGTCAAAACATATAGCATCCAGTTATTCAGGTAGGCTATTTAAGAAGAGGATGAAGTAATTTTGATAACTGAAGTCCGCTGTCTGTGTACTTCCTTTTGCAGGAAGTGAGTTCGGATGTCAGAAAAGTTTTAGTCTCAAACTTATGTTTCCAGCTGAGGAAGGCTGACAAAACCTAGTCTTGCAGAGGGAAGGAGCAAACTTTAGCCTTAGGGGAAAGCAGACAAAGCACCCAGCAAACTCACAACAGCTTGAGAGTGGAGGTGTGAGAAGCTGGCAGCAAATGGCCACTTCCAGTAAAAAAACACAAAAGTCTAAGTCATTAAAGGAGAAAGATCACATTGCATTTTG